TGTGAGCCAGACTAGTTTTGGAGAATTCCACTCCTCATCAATGACCCTGGACATTACCACCAATGAAATATCGGACCAAACAAAGCCTTTATAGTAGTAAGGTATCGAAAATCGAACTGGTGTATATATGTGTTTTACACTCACAAAAAGAAACCTATCATTCTATAGGTATTTGAAGAACTTGTAACATTTCACTACAATTTAATTCTTAGTATTGTTAGCCAACACTGAGCTAACATGTATATATACTCTATCTATAAACCCAAGCAAGTTACAGATGTTTTGGGTGTACTACTAGAGTACTGTAATATATTTTTTCTCTCTAAAATGTATATTTGAAGCCTACAAAAATTATATTTCTTCACCCACAACTCTAAAAAATAAACGAGGCTTAGCACTAAAGGCATACAGGGGCAAAATATTTTCCTATCACCGTAATTTATAATATATGTACTAGAAATCATTGTTTTTGAATGTAATTTTCATTTACTTTTCATGTTTTAAGAAAATTAGATAAAATTTAAGCATTTATGAGTAAATATATATGTATATATGTGATGTATGGTCACAAAAATATTGGTGTGGTTTGAAAAATATTAATAATATAGTTAGATTTGTCCTTTGTATTTGATTCTGTACCTTGATTCTGTGTATATTATAAATGATTAGGAATGCACGGGTATCCAGCAAGATATTTGGCCTTGGCTGGGTATTGAGCTACCCGAGTGTCGAAGTTAAACATCTAAGTCCTAATCTTTGTGGCAACTAACTTGGTACTGAAGGTAACAGTCAATAATTGGTTTAGTTAAAAAAAAACGTATTCTGAGCAACAAAAACTGACTGCTCACTGAAAGTCGGGGATTCAGAGAACAATAGGGGTTAATAACAGGCATGGCTTGAGAAGTGGATTTCTGGGAAAGGTGGGGGTATTGAGGACAATAAGGGTTAGGGTTTGAAAAGTTGGGGCTAGGCATTGAAAGTTGAAAGTAAAACTTGAATGTTCTGTTGGTGATTATTTGGTTAAATGTAATAAATGTCAATTTTGTTTTTGTTTCTAATTTTTGTGTATGTTTTTTTTGGGGGGGGATGGGGAGAACTCAGTTCTGGGTGACACCTGGCGCCACTTGAAGCTTAGCGACCATGTACCCGGACCCGGTATTTGGCCAAATTTTACTACCCATGCATTTCTGTAAATGATTATTAGTTACTTCAAGGTAAGAGTCAGTAACAACTCATGGTGTTTCACAAGTGTAAGGGAACTTCTAAACTACACTTTATCTGCAAAGGTATGAATGTTTTCCAAAGAAGACTAGACTTATAAGGCTTGCGAAACTAAATGTGTGTGATAAGTACTACTGAAACTAAAGTTGGAAAGTGCTGAAAAGGGAAATAGAATTTTATAAGCATGTGCTCAAACAACATCTTTGTGCACCTATGCCGCTAAATTATAAACACCACAAAAAGATTATTAATATTCAAAGAATTGCAATGTTTATTCTCTCAGTGCCAAACCACATAATAAATGTTTTGACAGGTTCAAAGTGCAGTGTTGTTACTCTCGAAAATTCTTGTTGTGAACACTGTAAGATACATACATAAACTGATAAAGTACACATCCTGTTGTCAGCATAAATGTTTTCACTGATCTGAGTGCAGTGTGATTACTCTGAATTTTCCAAGAAAACATTTTAGCATATATAATCCGATAACATTAGACATCCTGTTCTTGGAGTAGGAGTCAAGTCGACTATCTTTTCGCACATCTACTGACACAAGTGGGAATTTATTGATTTATCTTTAGCAGGGTTCTACTTTAGTCATTGACAGTAAAATAAACACAGGAAATAAATTTGAAATTTTCAGCAGTTCAAACTTGTAAGAGAAGTACTTTGAAACTTTGTGACCAAAAAAACTAAAAAAGGCACAGCTGCCTTCATTTATTTCTAATTTTACAATTTGTCTTTTCAATATACTTTCGGGATTTGTCTACAGGCTGAAGACCCAAGTATATCATTAAATAACTGATAAGATTTACTGAAAACAAATGTTTGAAATTTATTTAGAAGTTTTAAAGATTACACAAAACAAATTTGAGATTTTGGGGATGAAGAATAGTATTTTTAATCATAACATGAAAATCACTTCCACTCGAACTAGTAATGAAACAGACTTGATATATTCACAAACAAATCTTTAGTAAAAATACTTCGTTAAAAAATTTGATTTTTTGTGTACAAAAGATTTGTAATGTTTACTAAAGGTATACCAAATTTTGTGAAGATGCACATACTGAATTAAAAGTTATAGTATAAATACTTAATGTGTGCAAATGTGTTTTTGAACTCGTGTATGTTATACTGTGACAAGTCTGAGTGATAGAATGTATACATGTGGTTAGTTTCAAAAGACAAAATGTGTGATACAAATGTACATGGAATGTTCTTAATGAAGTACAGGTTGGAAATATGTCAGTTTACAAATATGCTAATAAGCACATGAAGCACAATGTGATTCACTAAGACTGTTTTTGATGACAAGGAACATAAATAACAATCAAGGAAAAGCTTCTGATTAACTAATCAGTTTCATCAAGTTGACACTCCATGCTTAATAGCAACTACAACATACAAAAGCTAAACTAAAATTAAGCTTCAGTTGGCCCCAAATAGTATCAGCCCAAGTTTGTCAACCAACTAATGATTCAGCTATATAAAATGTAACAAGCATCAGTTTCTCCATAAGTTTAGATGTCTTTGAAAGTTCAGTACACAAGGATTCCAAGTTATTATCTTTAATATCTTAAAATTCAAACATAAGTTGTTACTCACAACTGCATATAAGAGTATCAATAAATGATTTAATTTTATTTCCTCATTAATAAGTATGTTTCCTTATTCTCATGTAAGTACATATATACATTATTGTGAGATAATTACAGAGTTTCAAATAGCATATATATATATATATAAACAGAGTTGTTCATATGCCTGGAGTCACAGGTGTTTGTATGGAAATGGTTAAGCCAAATTTCATGAAATTTGATAAAGGAACTTAGTTGGACATTCCAAAGATAAAGTTTAAATTGATAAGCAACCATACAAAAACGTTAAAGTTTGGCAACCTTGTCAATTTTATTGCCCTAGTGTCACAATTGAATGAACAGGTTGAAAGCAAAACACCTGAAGCTGACTGATGACAAACAAATATTATGTTTAATGCCATGCGTAGCATGGGTAACCCCTCCATCAGGCAAACAGTTTTATGTGGTGTGGCTGCAAACAGTAAGATGGGGGAAACTTGTCACACTTAAAGAATTAACTTTTAAGCACAACACTGCAGGTTACCTTTGTTAGTGAGCTTCAACAATCTAGATTAACACTTCCTCTTTGACTAAAAATACTTTGCTGTATTAAGAACTGTAAACATATAAAATGGCTTAGCTGAATATGAGGTGCCTACTGTTTGTTAGAATTGATTCAAACTATCCTTGGATATACACATAGATGTGAAAAGCTATATTTATGTTAAGTTTATGATACTGATTGGTTAAGCAGAGTGGTAGGATTGATATACATCAAGTGAAGGGTTTTCTGTCACTTCTCGTGTTCATCCATACTTAATTTATTGATGTGTTCTAATTTTTAGCTTGTACAAAACTATTAGGATGCCATAACTATAAAGTCTATTACAAGTTTACATTATTAAAAATCTCATAAAATGCTTTTTTTTCTAATCACACATAACAGCATGGGATGTAAAAAATATTTTAATACCTTTAATTCAACACAGCAGTGAGAAGTAACAACCTTGAATAAAATGTGCAACAAGCATTTTGACATGAAATCTTATGGGTTTTATCAAAATAAGCAACTAAAATTAATATTAAACAAAGATTTTTGTATAATTACATGTATACACAGAAAATATTCAATAATTATAAATTTTATAGATACTAACATTTTTTCAATTGCTTCAGATATCTCTGCCCAGAATTCATCCACAATTTGATTTAATTTCTTCAGGGCAAATGTCTTCAGCTCTGGCTGGTTTTCTTCAAGCAAAGATATAATTCCCCCTGTAAAATATAAAAATAAATTTTAAACATATCTGACACATGAAGTATTGCTTCTTTTAGTGAATGTCTCAGTGTACGATATACCCAAAATTTTCCTCTGCATGCCAAAAATTGAGTGTGTGTGGAAGTCCATAGGATCTCCATGCTTTGATCCCAAATGTCCATAAGCCCATGAAAAAACTATTTGCTTCGGGTTTCAAACTGACCCAATTTTATTGCTGCAATACTAAAAACAATCTTCAGGGCCTCTTTTTTATAAGAATTTTAGAATGGTTTAAAAATTTTGATGGTCTATTAAGTTCTTGTAATGATCACAATAGTAAATTGAGACTTTCACAAGTCAATCTCTACCAACAGTGCATTGAGACATTGTATCGTTATTCAGCTATTGTTGTATCTCCATGAAATATTCAGGATATGTTTGCATCATTTTACACATGCACATAAACAATGACAAATGGTAAATAGATGTCCAGCCCAAATGAATTGGTTTGGATCACACAATGTAATAAAGTTGCATAGTTACAACATTTACTATATAGTATAGTGTTCTGAGATCTCTAAATTTTGAAGGAGCCTTCCGAAACTGATGTCATGGAAGTCCTATGTCTGCACCACCCTTTCTTCAACATAATTGTTTGAAGTTTTTCTCCCAAAATACAGCACCAAATGTTTTGGGAAAGTTGAAAACAGAAAATAATTCTGGTTAAATAAAATATGACCAACAACAAAGCTAGTATATAAAATAGAACTGATAGGAAACCAGCTCTTGAAATAGTTATGAATTTTTTGAATTGAAAGACTCAATCTCCACAAAAGTTAGTATATTAGTATGATTTCAAAATTTCCATATTTCATTACATTAATTATCAAATGCTTATATCTTTATATATATATATATATATATATATATATACACACATAAATTTAGTCACACATCAAAAACAAATGCTTTATTCACATTGATATAACTACAAATGGGTTTTATATATATATATATATGTCATGCATAGATTGCATGGCAGTAAAGGAGAACTAAGAATCTAGCTTTAAGAAACATAATATAAAGTTTGATGCTAATCTAGCAGAAACATCTAACACAATCTCTGTCTGACATAAAAGCTATTATGTACTGGTTCAGGACTCGTTCTATCTGTTTGTGATGTTCTTGAAACTGACAAAAAGATGTGGAACAGTGTGACATAGAACACGACAGTGAGGAACAAACGACATTGGAAAACAAAACTTGTGGTGAAAGGGCAAAGCTTTCAGGGTTCCCCCTTTGACTGACCTAAAATGTTGTTAGTAACATTTTGCATGTAATTTGTAATTTACATTCTTATTAGACAAAAAAAATATACTAAATTTCATTTTAAGATATAGGTATATAATTAGAACACATAGAAAAAAGATATTGAGAATAAATGGTCCAAAAAGAGGATTAAAACATCTTCAGAAACTTTACAAAATGTCCACTAAAAATAAATTAAATTATAACAGATATTAAATAATATTTGACCAATCAAATGTCCAATACTTATTTCAGAAAAACTTTCTTTGACTGATGTTCAAGCACATCTGTCATTGGTCAATCAACAGGATTCAACTGCACTATATAAAAGACATTACAAAACCTGTCATATTGCAGCTGACTTCAGCTTGAAATCCAGATATCTCATTTTAATATTTCTTGAAACATTGAAAAAAATTGTCTTTGCAATAGGCTATTGCATGGATCTGAATAAGGCATGCACAAAGCTGATATATTTGTCAGCCCTACTAGTAGAGCTGTGTTGGATCTGTATGCACACAAGTTGTTACAGCCCTATAATAATAACCACAATGTTAACCCTTTCCAGACGGGTCATGGGTGAAAAGCCATGTCATCTTGTTTGTTGACTCAC